GCCACCATTTCCCGGCCAAAGAGCAGAGTTTTAAGTGGCCCTGAGCCAAAGCTTAGACATATCGTTATAATCAATCCCAGTACTTGGGGATTCTAGCCCAGCACATGCCCGACCAGACCTCCCACATAACAAGGGTCTCACCTTCAGCTCTCACTTTCTGCCCCCCACTGCCACTGTGTTGGTCAGGCTTCACTGTAGTTCACATAGAGCAATGGTTCTCAACCAGTGGGTCACGACCCATGTGAAAGAGTTGCTCACTCTCAGTGGTCTCCATGCTTCCGCTTTTTCATGCAGTCCACCCAAGTTAACTAGTAAGTGCTATGTGCCAGTGTTAGTACCGATAGGAGCAAATGAACAAAGAGCATGTGCCTAGGATGTACAAGGCCTGAGGTCCAATCCCCAGCACCACAACAAAATGCTGGCATGATCAGAAGACAGCTGGGGGGTGGGGGGAAGACAGACTTGATTGGTCACCTCTTCCACGCACAGGAGCCCCTGATGGGCTGTGCCTTTTCTGCCTGTGCCTTTCCTAAAGTCCCTTCACTTCCCGAAACACCATTCCTTCTCCTGCTTCCTGAATCCATATCCACTCCTTAAGACGTAGCTCAAATGTCACCTTCTTCCTGAACAGAGGCCCTGCAAGAAACTCCTCCTCCTCCAGCTGCCTTGTAATGTTAACAGACAGTAAATGAATGCTCTCAAGAAAAGAACATAGCTGGGAAGAGGCAGTGCCCACCTTCAATCCCAGAGACAGGCAGATCTCTGAGTTCAAGGCCAGCCTGGTCTACAGAGTTCCAGGATAGTCAGGACTACACAAAGAAACCCTGTCTTGAAAAACCAAAAAAGAAAAAGAAAAAGAAAAAGAAAGGAAGGAAGGGAGGGAGGGAGGGAGGGAGGGAGGGAGGAAGGAAGGAAGAAAACCCTAGAGATTGGGCACGACAGGAGGCAGGCACCTGTTCTCATGAGCCACACACATTCTTTCAACAGAAAAAGTGTGTCAGTCTCAGTCCTGGGAAAAGCAGAGAGGCACTTAAAATAATGACCATAAGTAGCTATCTACACTAAGTGTTATGATAGACTTGGCATTAAGATAGCTACCTGCTAATAAAACCTTTCTTCAATGATTCGGTCATTTCTTATTACATTTACTGTGTGCACACACAGTGCATGTGTAGAGGGCAGAGGGCAATTTGCAGGAGGCAGTTCTTCCTTCCCCAGCTGGGTCTCAGTAGTCCTTTACCCACTGAGCCATCTCGACGGCCCTCATTCTGTTATTTCTGAGATATGTCTCTTTATAGAAAGAAAAAAAAAGCTGAGTTTATCGAGATTAAGAATCTGTGACAGGCCAGGCAGTGGTGGCACATGCCTTTGATCCCAGCTCTCAGGAGGCAGAGGCAGGTGGATCTTTGTGAATTCTAGGCCAGCCTGATCTACAGAGTGAGTTCCAGGACAGGGAGGGTGGTTACACACAGAAACCGTGTCTTGAAAAACCAACAGAGAAAAAGAATCTGCAATAGACCTGCTGATGTCACTTGGCTCAGGTGGGTGGAAGCTACCCAGCCTGGGTCCTCAAGGCCTGGGCTGGTTGAAGACATTCACGGGCTCTTAACTGCTGAGACATCTCTCCAGGCCCCAGGAATTCACAGCTTTTTAACGAGTCTGAAAAGCACAGGATTCTTTGAGGATTCAATCAGTAAGTGCCAAACTTCAGCATTTCTGAGTTGAGTTATAAGAGATTACCACTATAACTGACAAGTGATTTTACGAATAAGCAGACCTCCTACAAATACATCAATATTTAGAGCTAAACTACAGAAATATGAAAGGCTTAGTCTCACAGAGGCTAGAGACACTGTGGTGAGCAGGGTATGTGCTTTAACTCTGGGTCCTACATCAAAGCATCTGGCCCATAAATCTGCTACATAATCATCTAGAAATAGGAAAGGAAACAGGAAACCATGCTTAACTCACAGGTTAGTGTAAGAATCAGAGGCACTGATGTACGCCTGCCTTGTGTCTGCTACACAGTATCTTCTCAATAAACACTACCTCCCTTCTTGTCCGATAAATGCCTTTGTACTGAAGCAAATTTTCTCAGAACTATAAACATGAGAGCTTCAATTTTTTTTTCTGCAAAAAAGATCTCATTCAAATTATATTCATTACTCTTTGTGGGTATGTTAGAGGGGCCAGGTTCTCAATATGCAGCCCAGAATGGCCTCAAGCTCACTATGTAGCTCAGGCTAGCCTTTAACTTCATATCCTCTTGCCTTAGTCTCCCAAATACTGGGATTATAGGAATGTGCCACCACATCTAGTTTATTTATTAATCAATGTTGTTGCTGCCAGAGAGAAAGAGCATGATGTTTAACATCAAAAATCAATGAATAATAGCATGGTTAACCTGAAGATAAATGTATGATTTAGCTGACTTGCTTGAAACACTGGAAATAGTTAATGATCCCCTCAAGGGATTGTGTGTGTGTGTGTGTGTGTGTGTGTGTGTGTGTGTGTGTGTATGTGTACAACTTGATGGAGTTGGGTCTCTCCTTCGATCTTTACACAGGTTTCAAGGACTGAACTCAGACTGGCAGGTTTACACAGCAAGTGCCTTCACCCAATGGGCCATTAAAACCTCCTCCATCCCCACCACCTCCTCCATCCCCACCACCTCCTCCATCCCCCCACACCACGCCAGAGTTTGCAACTTTGGGACAGAAATTCAATGAAGAGGCAGGAGTGGTGGCACAGTCTTCAATACCAGCACCAGGGAGGCAGAGGCAGGAGAATCTCAGAGTTAGAAGTCTACCCTGGTGTACACAGTGAGTTCCAGAACAGCCATGGCTTATGCTGAGAGACCCTATCTCAACAACAACTCAATAAGGGACAGGGTAATTAATAGCAGCTTCCCTGGAATTGAAACATTCCCTCTTGGGATGGGGCAGGTGGCTCATGAGATCAGAGGTAATGTCCTTCTGTTCGGATGTCTGGGAAAGCTGAAAGGTACAGGATTCTCAAAGGCCCCTCCCCAGCTTTACAGAGACAGCGAACAGCTGCTCAAGAGGAGGCTCTGGCCAGCAGAGCTGGGGAGGAAATCCGCAGACCCGGGGAGTTGAGAGCGCCAGGGTTGCATTTCAGTTGCGCTGTCACCAGGGCTGGGGTGGGCTCTGCAGCAATGTGGCTGCTTTGAAGCCACCCCTGTCCCTAGGAGGGAGTCCTTACCCACACTCCTGTTTGTAACCCGAGAAAAACGTGCTGGTTCAGTCAGACTCAGACCAGTCATTAATCTGGTCTGCTGTGGACTCCCTTCCTGGGTGGCATTGCATTGGTGCGTGGCATCTCCCCAGAAAAGTCTCTCTCACAACAGAGGACCTACCAGGAAAAAGTATTTCAGCCAGGCATAGTGGCGCACGCCTTTTAACTCAGCACTTGAGAGGCAGAGGCAGGTGGATCTCCCTAAGTTCAAGGCCAGCCAGGTCTACATAACAAGTAGCAGGCTAGCAAGGGTTCATAGAGACCCATCTCAAAAACAAACACCTTCTCCCCTCAAACAAAACAAAACAAAAGCTGCCGGGCGGTGGTGGCGCACGCCTTTAATCCCAGCACTTGGGAGGCAGAGGCAGGCGGATCTCTGTGAGTTCGAGGCTAGCCTGGGCTACCAAGTGAGTTCCAGGAAAGGCGCAAAGCTACATAGAGAAACCCTGTCTCAAAAAACAAAAAAAAAAGCACCTGCCATAGAAGTCTGAGGCCCCGAGTTTTACCCCCAACGCCAGGCCTGAATGGTAGAGGGAGAGAACTGCTCCCACAAGTTCTTCTGACCCCACACATGCCCCCAATAAATGAATGAATGTAAATTTTTTACAGAAAGAAACTCAAGAAAGGATCTGAGTCAGATAGCCTGTTTCCTGTATCTCCAGACATCACTTAGATCAAGAGAAAACCTTCCACGCTGAAGGGAAATGGAGGGCTCTCAGATGAGCCAAGGAAGGTGCTGTGTTCCAAGACAGGGAGTGGGCTGTCTCTACCTTTCTTCAGAGCCAATGCAGACATCACCGAGGTGAGGCGAGGCAAGTGACAGCACTTCATGAGCGCTGGCTGCTCTGGACTGAAGGAGAGCAGAAAGAGGGAGGGGAAGGGAACAAACTGAGGCTGAGACGCTCCAGCGCTAGAACGGTGTGGATCATTCCATCGCCACACAGCAGGCTGTGTGGGGCATGCCCACTGGGCTTCAGGCCACCCAGGCTACACAGTGAGACCCTGCCTCAGAACAGACAAGAAGCACACTTCACACCTAGAAAAGCCCGAGGTCATCAGTGCAGCAGTCCTCCTTAATATCACAGCCTACAAAGGGTAGCAGGCCCAATCTCTTCTAGTTTACGGAAGCTGTACTTGTGGGATTTCAGCTCTTCCGAACCCTTTACCTACTCAATGATAACGTTGTTGGGATCGAGGTCTTTCCCAGTTCCTTGGTTGACAACTTTCATGGAGAGGGACACTTTTATTCTATCATTTTTCATCTGAAAAAGACAAAAGAAGAGTCACCAAAACCCGTGTGTGTGTGTGTGTGTGTGTGTGTGTGTGTGTGTGTGTGTGTGTGTGTGTGTGTGTAGGGGGTGTTCATGTGGGTGCATGTTGTGTAGAGAGGCCAAAGATCAACCTGAGGGGCATCTTTCTGGAACCTCTACCTTGTTTTCTTTTTTGAGAACCGGAGCTTACCCATTCAGCCTGGCTGGCTGACCAGCACGTCTCCAGGACCCTCCTGCCTGCACCTCCCAGCACTGGGGTTACAAGAGTGCACCACCACACACCTAGTGCAACTGAACTCAGGTCTTCACGTCTACGTGGCAAGCATTTACCAACCAAGCTATGTTGCTAAGCCTCCAAACCCCTTAAGTACCTGACCATTGATTTGTAATACTTCAGAGTCAAGCTTGTAACCATCACTACAGACATCAAATAGACTAAGTACTAAGTTAAGAACATTGGGAGTACAAAGAGGTAGAAAGGGCAGACTTAATGGAAGAAGAGATATAGGAAACGACGACCTTCATCCATTCCTGTCTTGGAAGTAAAACAGGCCAGGGGCCAGTGAGATGGCTCATTGGGTTAAAGGTTAACTGCTGCCAGGCCTAAAGACATGAGTCCGACTCTCAGGATCCACATGGGGTGGGAGTGGGGGGGCATGACTCCAGCAAACTGTCCTCTGATCTCCACATACACTGTGGCCTGCATGTGGGGATAGGCAGACAGACAGCAGATACACACACACACACCCCTGCCTCAGCTGCTCGAATGCTAAAATTACAAGGGTATGCCACCATACTCAGCTCTGGTTCAGTCTTATAGCTACAAAACCTAACATATTGAAAGCACTCACACAGTTTTCAGCTTTTTGCTAACTCCAGGGCTTTCTGCCTGCCATTCCCTGGTAGAGCACAGAGAGCATGCATTCCCGTGCCCACACTGCCCATTCCACTAGACGGTGCCACATGCTAGGAAAAACGACTGCGAACTGTGTCCTTTCCAGCCTGCCTCAAGCCGGAGTGCACACGACAAGCACTCTGCAGCTATTGGGTTGATGAAATCCCTCCTTTGGTTCTTCTCCTTCTGAACCTCAGGAGGAGAGTTTATGAACACCCACTCCTACCACACTTCTTCCTTACTTCATGTTATTTCTCCTAAATCTGCAGGACAGACAACCAGAAGATTCAAACTCAAGACAGATGACTGGGACAAGATTTAAAAATAAGAATGTCAGCCACCATGAACATTTACACACTTGACGTCATAGAATTCCAATCAAACCTTAGCTTTTTATAACCCTTTCAAACCACAAGAAGTTACAAGAAACTTTACCTCTCGGCCAATAAGCTTCACCCACACTTTGTCTCCAACATCTACTATTTCAGAAGGCTTGTCCACTCGACAGGATGACATGTGAGTTCGATGGACCAGACCTGGGCACAAGAAAGAAATAAACATTTATACTCTGAATGCATGGATAGGAAAAGATAGAAGATGAGGAATACAGGGGGAAATTTAAATTTTCAATGAAAATGTTATATAGATTAAAAACTACAAACTAAAACAATTTAAGACAATCTTTAATCTAAGCAACCAACCAACATTGTTTAAATTATTTTACTTTATGTGCATGGATATTTTGCCTGCATATATCTGTACACCATGTGTGTGCCTAGTGCCCCAAAAGAACAAAAGAGGGTGCTGGATCTCCTGGAACTGGAGTTATAGACAGCTGTGCGCTGCCATGTGGATGCTAGGAATCAAACTCTGGTCTTCTGGAAGAACAGCCAGTGTTCTAATCACTGAGCTGTCTCTCTAGCCCCAATAAATGATTCAATAACTGCTTGGCTGGAGTACAGCTCAGCGGTAGAACATGTACATAGTATGCACTAGGCTGGGAATTCAATTCCTAGCACCAAAAAAAAGGAAAAAAAAGTAAATGAAACACTATACAGTGTTATAAATGTGTAATAAAACAAAAGCAACCACATAAATACAGTGTTGAATGTTATATGATATTTTGATTGTGTTCTGACAAATAAAGCTTGCTTGGAATGAGAGGGGAGAGCTCGCCACTAGCTGACCTAAATTAACCATAGAGGTTTGGAAGACTGTAGACAGAGAGACAGGAAGTAGTGAAGTGGGGTGGAGAGAGGATCTCGGCCCTTTGAACAGAGGAACAGAAGCAGAGGAATGGAAGACATAGGAAGTGACTGGCGGCTGCTCCCTTTTCTCTGATCTTCCAGGTTCTTACCCTGTTATCTGACTTTATTGATAAAGATTAATTCGATTAACACTTCATCTGGAGCCCAAATGTGGGGCTCTTTAACATCCCTTGTGGGAGAAATTTCCATTAATATCTTTTAATGGACTGAGAATTATTATAAGTAGGCACCATGAAGGCAAATTTTTCTCTATCTTATTCTTACAAAAGTAAAAAAGTGGGGCTGGAGAGATGGCTCAGAGGTTAAGAGCACTGGCTGCTCCTCCAGAGGTCCTGAGTTCAATTCCCAGCAACCACATGGTGGCTCACAGCCATCTGTAACGAGATCTGGTGTCCTCTTCTGGCCTGCAGGGATACATGCAGCCAGAACATTGTAAACATAATAAATTAAAAAAAAACAAACAAAAACAAACAAACAAACAAAAAGTAAAAAAGTAAAAATAAAAAGTCTTTTAAATCAATCACTATAATAGACCATCCTTTAGGTAAGGGAATTCCAGGCTGTAAAGAGTCCATTGGCTGAATCGCCTTATTAATAGCTCTTAGAACTGTTACCATTCTCCATTTTCCAGATTTCTTTTTTGCTGTGGATATCGTTCTATATAAATAAAACACTGATGGCCAGTGACCAGACAGGAAGTATAGACGGGACAAGGAGAGAGGAGAATTGGGGAAACAGGAAGAAGGAGAGAGAGACACTGCAGCCACCAC